CACCCCAGCCGGGACAAGCTCTAAGCTCCGAACTAAAATGGTAGTGCATGTAATTGTGTGAAAGTAAGAGGGGCGGATTTAGGAAAAGGAAGGAAAGATCGCGAGCGGTCCGTGGCCTGTTTGTTAGGGTATAACTGGCGCAACTTTTCTTGAACGATGACCTTACTTCCCCCTCTCTAGCACAATAAACAGATGAAGGAAAAAGTTCGCAGCGAGCACTGATGACAACATTCCAAACACATCTTCATTGGCGCAGAATAGAAACATTTTCTTTTGAAGACAAGAACTTCTATCGGTTATTTTCTCCAAAAATCTAAAGAAATGTCCGAAGCAGGTGCTGATCTATCACAGATACTTCGAACTCCTGATAAAGTTAGAACTCAAATTATTGAGAACGTTACGAAGGCGTGACTGATTCTCATTAGATATTCATTCGCATTACTTCATAAAATCTAGCGGCCGATTTCGTAACTAATACCCCCACTCCACCCACATTTCTTCAATCTATCGTCCAAGAAAAGTTGCATTAGTAATACTTCTCCCTCATTCGCCTGGTGTCGATGGCAGGAAACACGGAAAACTATCGATCAGAGCAGCCGGCCTCTCCTCCAGAAAGCGGCAAAATAGCTATCTAGGACTCAAACCATTTTACCTCCCTATTTAAGTCACTGACATCAGTCGATGCCCTAGGCGACCTAAACCGGTTTGGTTTGGAGGAGAATTCTAGCGGCCGATTGCTTTGTTCGGTATATTTCGTGTTTTCACACATCAATAGCTGAATGCCGGAACAGTACAGCAAGCGGGCCACGTCATGCGATCTTTCCTTTCTTATCCTTGTGTCGTTCTCTCCCTTCACAGAACACACACACACACACACACACACACACACACTAACAACACTTACTTTCCCTCTACTGCCATATACATCGAGAGCTTAGAATTTGCCCGGGTGGGGTCGCCAAGCGAGAAACCTATAGGGGGAAACACCGCAAACAGAATTGCAGGTCGACACCAAATTTCACGTTCCCTTGGAGAGAAATTCCTCCGCCTCCTGTGATATAATATATACTACACCTACGGGACTACGACCTAGCAGTTGACGCTCTCGGGAACGCAATATAATCAAACATCGTGTCTCTTCTATTCTACATTTCCTTTCAAATCATTTTTTCTTACTTTCCCTTCTTATCTCTCCGATCTTCCACTTCGATCGACTAAGTTTTGCTCCGATCCGCTTCTTGACCTGCTTTGTCCCATTCTGATCAGCTCCATTACAAAACGGCCCAGTCTTTCATTTCCTGTCTCGTCCGTTTCGTCCATCCCATCCAACGTCGCTATTCTTGCGTTTCTCTAGTCTGTTCCGGGTATCTCATAACCTGATCCAAATGTTCCACCAACTGAATTATTTTGCTCCACTTTTACCAAATATTCGTCCCTATGTTTCCTCGCTATCCTCAACTTACTCGCTCCGCTCTATTCTTTTGCCTGTTCTACCCACACTGTTCTTGTATTCGACCAGCCCTCACCTCACTCCCAAACCAAGTCCAAACAAAGACTAACTCAACCCTGACCGAATCTCTAGTTCTTAAATTCCGCCGACCTTTCCTTTCAAAATTGCTTCATTCACACCGTCTCGCACTTTATTACCCTGCTTTATATTTACAGCTCATCATTTCATATTGTCTTTTTAAGCTCATTTCTTCGGTTCAATTTTATTCCTCCGCTTTGTCTTTCTTAGATGTGAAACTCTGTGACATTTAGTCAAATCCACACAGCTTGATCGCGTTTCTTGTGGTTTCTTCGCCAATAGACATTCCCTGAATCCCTTTTCATCCCATCCCATCCCATTCATTCCATCCCTTCTCATTCCAATCCATTTCATCCCATTCCATCCTAGCCTTTGTCATCCCATTCAGTCCCATTCCATTCCATTCCATGCCATTCTATCCCATACCATCTCATCCCATGCCACCCAATTTCATCTTAATCCACCCCATCTCAACCCATCCCATTTCATCCCTTCGCATCATATCTCATCTCATTTATCCTAATCTATCCCAGCCCCTCGCATCCCATCCCATCCAATCACTGTGGAAAAAGGAGCTGTAACTCCGAACAATGTTAGCGTATAAGCAAAAAAGGGAAATACTTCAAATATGCTTAATTAAATTAATTATGTGTGCAGTTATATAGCATTAGTCCCCGTTTATACATCAAATTGAATACTAGCTTGATTTTTCATGCTAGCTAGCGTTTTTCATTAACTGCCTGTATACATAGTACAGGAGTCTGCATCATTTCATAGAGACACGGTCCATTCATATTTACCTCTACCTAGAATATTTCTGTCCAACCTGTTCCTTCTCCAACTCGGTACGTATTTGCCTTCATTGGATCTCACTTACTGTGATCACCTGTTACCAATTATTACATTTGATTTCAATAATGTCTCCCATCGCATACATGCTTATATTCCAGAGCACTTGCACTTAGTCGTATTTTCTTTTATTTTTTTCTGGACATTAGTATTATTTCCCTTTCATAAGAATAACTTAATTGCGCTTTTGTGTAACTTGTCTCGAGATATTTATTATATTACTTAATTTTCTTGTTGCCTTCCCCTCACTTATGTTTCTTGTTAAATCATGACAAACATTTACACTTCGAATCTCGGTTGTACAAGGAGTGGGGGGTACCTTGTTAAAACTCCTTATTACATGAGCGCGTTTTCGTATACTGAAAAGACTGTGCCACGGAAGATGTAAGGACTTGCATGAACGCCCTTGCATGAAATGTGTACAAGAATGAAACGTTTATAACATAGTATAAACAACCTAATAAAAGCGTCACATGCTGTCAAATCTAAAAAAAACATGGCAAAGAACGTGATAACGGGTGAGATTAAATTACTTCAGCTACAGTTCCACGCGAAAAATACGACGATGCAGAGATCTCCATTCTGCTGGTCACTCCTGACAACGCCACCACCCTCATCTGAATCGCATTGCCCTCCATAGGCAGATCAGAGGAGCAAGGTAACCACCCGTATCCTCACCGTGACCTGCCTCTCTCCTTACTCCGCCCCGCGTTTCATTCCGAGCCTGCGCTGCTCCGTCTCCCCGCCCGGCCCCGCCCCGCCCTCGCCCCGCCACGCCACGCCCCGCTTCACCCCGGCTCAACACCCAATAACACAACAACACACACGCCCCGCCCCGCCACGCCCCGCCCCGCCCCGCCCCGCCCACGCCGCTTCCACCCCGCTCCGCCCCTCCCCACCACGCCCCGCCACGGCTCCCGCCCCGCCCCCCCCACCACACCCCGCCACGCACCCGGCCCACCGCCCCGCCACGCCCCTGCCACGCCCCGTTCCGGCTCCGCCTCACCGCGACCCCATCGCGTTCCGCCCGTTCCGCCCGCCCCGCCCCGCTCCTGCCCTTCCACTCCGCGCAGCGTCCTGGTCAAATATCGCCGTAAAAAACAATTCGCCGTATCCGCACTGGTGGCTGGTGCCGTTTCGCGTCGCGCGGGCGAGGCGGGGCCGTTGCGGGCGGGGCAGGCGGGCTGCGGGCGGGGCGCGGGCGGGGCGGTGCGGGGCGGGGGCGAGGCGGGGCGGGCGGGGCGGGGCGAGGGCGGGCCGGCCGCCACTTCCGGGCGCTTGATGGGGAAGCGTCGGCCCCCCGAATAGCCGCGAGCCTCCGGATATTGCGTTCGCTAACCCAAGCGGGCTCGCTAGACTGAACGTCTCTGTCGGTCCAGACGGCGCGGCGCGCACCCGTGCCCCTCCCCTTCCCCCTTCCCCTTCCACCCTATTCACCCCCACCCTTCGACCCGACGCCCTTGTCGCGCCGCGCGGGCACGCCGTGCCGCGCTCGCATGCCGACGCGCGCTGTGGGGTTCCGAGCGAGAGTGTAGAGCTGCGGCAGCGCGGAATTGTGGGTTTTGTGGCAATTAATTAGCGATGTTATCGGAGTTTATCTGATGTGCTTCGCTCTATAGAAATCAAGTTAATTCATTTCATTGACGCTATTTGATGTACGTGACATTGCTTGCCCTTTACAATGAAAATTTTATTAATTGTAACTTGTGCTATAAATCAGTCTGCAGTGTTTGCTTCAGTTACAGCATAAGTCTATCAACAACAACTAAATCAAATTATTACTTCCTTTGGTAAAAACATGCAGAATGCAAGCGTCAAATACGTTTATTTAAGATCATATTTCGAATCAGTTATTTCATCCTACAAATAAGTCCTTACTTGAAAATCAAATTCATTAATTTCATTTTCTAATAATTATAATGTGAGGCATACATTCTTCGATTAAGAATAAAGCATCTATTAATTCTTAAAATTAAGAAGCCCAACGTATGCAAAGAGGAATATTGCGCTATTATCATTACAGTATCATTGATTGCAATATTGTCATTGCATTATGATCTTTGCACTATTATCATTTGCTGGCGTAGGAGGTGATCATCAGCATGTTATAAACTAACTACTCAGTTATTTAGTGCGAAGGTTCGATTGACTGCTTATTAGTGATTCGGACGCGTCAACTACTAGTTCATTTGCCCCGTACGGGTAGTGCATGTTTTTTGCTCGTGAGGAGGCGGTGGACTTCCCCCGCTGTATGGCGAGATCCGCCGCCGATCTACTGTCGGCTAGCGGGGTTTGCCTCAACCAGGTATCTCCCACCTAACCACCCCCACTCCCAGGTAACCGCCGCAGCCGGGAAAAGCTCTAAGCTCCCAACCAGCCTCCCAGTACGTGTTGTGGTGTAGTGCATGTAATTGTATGTGTAAGGACCAGGAAAGGAAAGGAAATGGTCCGTGTCCCCTTTGTTAGGATTCTGCTCCGGCATTCGCCTGGTGTTGATCGAAAAAACTGGAGGTTCGAGTGTAGACAATAGTGCCTTTAGGGGTGACTGTCTAGGAGAGTCCCGTTCCCACTCGGCAGACTCAACTCCGTAGCCACAAACGCCTATTCCTCTCCCAAGCCGGAAATGTGTATCTTGCGCGCGCGCGCGCGCGCGCGCGTGTGTGTGTGTGTGTAGACTGATTGGGCAAAATCGGAGTTGGTGGGCAACTTTTAAAGTGAATAGTGTGGGAGACCACAAAAATTATCTTCTGTAGACTAAATTTACTTTCCCGTGTACAGAAACTTTTGAGCGTATGGCGGCTCTGCGTCAGGAGCCTCTTGATACTCGCCCGACCGAATGGAGGTAGAACCTGCCGAGTGTGGCGTCACCACTTCTACATGTACCCTCCTGTGAGTTACTTACTGATTCCCGGCTCGTCAACTGTACCGTATGACATTAGCTCCGTAAGTGAAATGCGTATTATCTCGAGAGATGGTGAGGTTCCTCTCGCCCAATCGTCTCATCCTAAACTATAAGTCCTCTTGATGAGAATTCCCTCCTCTAAATATCTCCTGCAGTAGTGCACCTGCCTCCAGGGACCAGCTCTAAGTGCCCGACAGGTCTCCAAACATTTGTGGTAGGGGAATCCGTGTATGTGTGAGTGTGTGTAAGGGACAAGGATATGAAAGGAAATATAGCTCCTGGTTCATGGCCTGTTGGTTGGGGTTCTGCTCTGACCTTCCCATTGAGGGAAGAAACCTCGGAAAACTACCGACCAGAACCGCCTGCCGCAAGAATTCTCCTCTAGAAAGCGTCTTAACCCGAACTAGCAGTCTAGCAAGTGTCGATGACAGCCGCCGTTGGTGATAGCAGTGGCAATAGGGGGCGGTGGTTATAAGAGAAGTGGAGGAGGCGGTTCTGGTGGGGGCGGTGGTGGCGATGACAGCAGTAATGGCGGTGGCGGTATTGCTGCAGTAGATGGTATCATGGCGGTGAGCAGGATGGAGAAGATGGAGGTGGAGGTAGCGGTGACGAGCGTTGGTGGTGATGAAGGTGGCAGAGGCAGAGGTGGCGGCGGCGACGACGGTGGAAGTGGTGACTACCACGACGGAAGCAGATGCGGAAGCGGTAGTGGCGACGGTCGGTTCATTGCAATGACGATCCACACACGGCGCCTACGGCGCGTCAGCCACAAAAATAGCTGGGCCAAATTTTGCTATTGATTCTGGTGAGGAGAACCATATTTCAGTGTGTGACAACCATTTCTTTTTTTCCAGTGATTATTCCAGGCTCGTCAACTGCTACGGTCATTAGTCCTACTAGTATAGTGGATGTTTTATTCCAGGAACTGACGGTGTTCGTTCCCCACTGCAAGGTGAGATGGGGTACAGACCTACCCGTCAGCATTTGTGGGGAAGTTCTCCGCCCAGGTATCGCCACCCAACGGCGTACCACCCAATCAGGACAAGCTCTAAGCCACCGCCGGGATTCGAGTCCAAGGACCTCCAGGTCAGAAGCCCTGCAGTGCCATCACTTGATATGCTGACCTACATCCATTCTGGCTTGTACGTCCTAAAGCATAAAAGATATAAGCTGCTTCTGAGCTAACGCAGGGGGGTAGGCGAGTCTGTGGGGCGGGGCGTGAGCGAGTGTGAGGAGAGGATCACTGACGCGTCTTCTTCATTGTGTTCATGCGTCTTCTTGATGCTCAACTTTTACTCATCTTTCAACTACTTGTAGTTAAAATGACGGGAAGGGATTCTGGAACACAAGAAAACGTGCGAAGATAATCTCTTCCCCCTACGTCACATACAGTTTTTACTGTTTTTTGATTAAATAAATCTAAATCATTAGTTCCGACGTAGTGGCCCCGGGCTCTTCGTGCTCGTGTTATATGTTAGGTAGAGGGAAAGAAAATCCCCGTTGCCACCCCGTTCGGTGTGGGATTGAACAATGCGGAGGGGGCTTCATTTCCATCTCCTGAGACACGAGGGACGGGGGAAAACCCCGCGCATTCCGCAGCGAAACCCCGAAATAACCGCCCCCGCTGACTGATGGCTTCGAGGCCACGGAGAGGAGTCTGCGAGAAGAATTGCCGGCATGTGTACCTTGCGCCGCGGGAACTGCTACTTAGCGCCTCTAGCGAATACAATGACAAATTAAAGCCGGTCGTTGCCGACCTTTCTGTCACCATTTCACGTCACCGGGCTCGAAAGATACCTTTGTTTGCTTGTTATGGTTGTCAAGGAACGCCTAATTCACGTTCTAGTTCGTATGTACGTGTTGCTCTGGAAGACGATGGTGAACATTTCAATGCATTAATGAAAACTGATGATGATCGTTAGGTAGTTGATCATTTTTTGCTATTCCAATCTTTGATGCTCGATAATTTAAAAGTACAATTATTTTAACAGAAATAGAATACTCATTTTAATTCCAATTCTTCATGAGCTTCTGTTCGGTTTCGGCTCTGATCGAACTCTTGAGTATTAAAAGCGCCAAATTATAAAATGATTTAAATAATAATAAAAATAAGGTTTGTAAAAAGTGTGAGAAGCTAAGATTTGTCTGAGAAAACAATCGTATGTTCAGAAGCGATGAAAACAAAACAAAAATGACAGGAATTTAGCCTACTAGTGTAAAAATCAAATGGCACGTGAAATAAAATTTAACAAATTAGAAACTATAAAGTCGAATAGTCAGTGAAAATTTCACCAGAGGAGCACCATCCCAGCCGGGCAAGCTCTAAACTTTCTACTAGTCTCTCGACAAATGCGTTGGCGTAAGTATGTGTGTATGTGTAAGTAAGGGGTAAGATAGGACAAGAAAGGCAAAGGATGGATCGCACGCGACCGTCGCACATTTGTAAGGGTACCGCACTGGCTTTCGCCTTTTGTTGATCCAACCACTGAACCACGGGAGAGAACCTCCGGAGAGAAACCACGAAAAATTACCGATCAGAGCAGACCACCGCTAGAATTATTCTCGCGACGGCGGCTGAATTCGAAAATCCTGCCACTGTCGGGATTCGAATCCCAGGACTTCCCGGTCAGAGGCACTGCAGTTATATCAGTTGATACCCTGAGCCACCATTGCCGATAGAAAAAGGAAAGGAACAATTTAAACGTCCGTTTAGACTTATTTGGTGAAGCGCCAAAACGAGAATCATTTCAGCAACACCGCCACCAACACTACCGCTGTCATCGCCGCCATCGTCACCGCCAGAGCCGCCACCTCTACCACTCCCACAACCACCGCCACCGCCACTGCTATTACCACCATCTACCACCACCACCTCTACCTGCTTCATCTTTACCATCACCCGCACCGACATCTCCAACTCCACAGTAACCGCCACTGCTACTACCGCTGCCATCGCCGCCGCCACCACCACCGCCTCCACTACTACAGCCCACACCTCCAACATCACCACTGCCATCTGCGCCACTAATGCCACTACCTCTACGTTCGGTGACGCCACCACTATCACCGCCACCACTACCATCTCCTCCTCCTCAAACGCAACCACCACCACCTCCTCAATCATCACCAACGCTACTAGCACCAACGCTACCACCACCAACACTACCACCACCATCTCCACCACCATCTCCACCACCATCTCCACCACCATCTCCACCACCATCTCCACCACCACCACTAACCATTGCTATCCCCTCCGCCTCCTCGGCCACCGCAGTCGCCGCTCCCGCCCACGCCGCCGCCCGCGGGTCCCCTCTCGTTCTGCAGCGACTGCGATAAGCCCTGTCGCGTGGGCGAACGTTGGCCAGACGCGCTTTAAAACCAAACACGTGTCTCGGAACGAGGCTCCTTCGCGGCGGCCGCGTCGCCCCGCGTCGCCCCCGACGCACCGCAGCGCTCGCCATAAATTCTACACGACGCGTTTTGTCCACTTTCGGACTCCTACAAACGACGCGACGTGGCCCCCAACGGCCGCCACTCCGCCCACGGTCACCAACGCCTGTGTGTGTATGTGTGTGTGTGTGTGTGTGTGGTGTGTGTGTGTGTGTGTGTGGTGTGTGTGTGTGTGTGTGTGCGCGCGCGCGCGCGCACGTGTGCGAGTGCGCGTCTTTGTGAGGTAGTGCGTCTTTTCCGGCGCAGTTTGCTGAGTTTGGGTCTACTTAAGTGGAAGATAAGATGGCCGAGCGAGACATTGCAGATGTCGAATGGAGTTTACTCACATTGGCGAGGGAACAGCCAGTGACCCCAGCATTGGATAGACTCTTAGGGAATCACTTTTATCCGCTTGTATCAATTAACATTTTAATGTGCATTAAATATATATTTCTCCATTTTTAGTCTCTGTTGTAGTTGCAATTAAAGGAATTATTTGTACAACCTAGATTTAATTCGTGAAAACATTGATTATTTTTCTGTTGTTTTTTTTTCTTCCTTAAAAACTGGTTTTCACCAGCTGGTATCTTGACTCCTTTGCAATTGCCATTTGCCTAGTCACAGATCTGACAAGAGTAATTATGTTTTATTTCAATTTTAGTTTTTCCTGAAATAATCTGTGTCGGGTGTATTTATTTAGGTGCGTAAGAGGACAAGTAAGAAACAAGTATCAATTAAACATCATCAAATAATCATCAATTATAATCTGTCAATTAATGAAAAGAACTTTAGGGAGATTAAGCAATTGTGTAATGCAAATTTCTTGTTTCCTTCTGGAAATATTTTGTGATTAAATGTTACATACCATTATTTACATAAACGTTTCTAGAGAGTAATTCACGTTAATAGTGTGTGTATATATATATATATATATATATATATATATATATATATATATATATATAATTTGACAAGAGAATGTTTGTGAAAGAATGTATTGTTTTATTTATTGCACTTCTGCACTTTTCGAAAAAATCAGTCAATACGAAGAGCATCCAAGAGTGCCTAAGTATTCACATCGTGGAACAAAATAATTCTCACTGAATTATTTACCTTACGTAATTGTACCTCTTCACGAGATCTCCATGACGTAATATTTGTTTTCACAATATATACTTTTCGGTTCTTATTTAGGTCGTCAATTTCAGTTCCATCGTGTGGAGGAAAAAATACAAAACGTATGTAAAAACAAACCGAGGTGAATGTTAGTCATATCCCGTTTAACAACATACTCACTAAAATCGCAGCACCAAAACTCGCAAAACCACGTTTTTGGAAATTCCTTTGAATGTTCTGGCCATATCCGAAAACAAATGATCATTTCACCACCAGGAGACCGAGACGCGAGGAATGACACTTCATTTGTTCTCTGAATGACACTTCATTTGTTTGGATTGGAGGACGGGAAGTGGTTCAACCGTTAGTTACGGATCCGCACACATACACACACAATCATACACACATACTCGCAGCTACTCAATTACTTTATGTGGATGTTCATGATTATGATCCGGAGCATGCATTCTATTCTACTAGATCTACTAGATAGTACAAGGATGTTTCGTAGATAAAATTTCAATCAGGGCAGTCTTGGAATCTGCCAAAAATTCCATTTAGCCACAATTCTCAACAGCATTTAGATCAATAGACAAACTTAAAGTCTGGATAACTTTGTTACTAGCGGCGTCGAATTAAAATACAACCCTTCGCCTTGCAACCCTCCATTTCCGCCCTGATAGCTCAAGATGGAAAAGCGGCTTCCTCACAAAGCCACTAGGGGGTGGGCTACCCTGATGCCTTCCGGTAAACAGAGGGCGCGAAGAATGCAAGATCCAAATCGTGTTTTTAATTACGCTGCTCCGCAGGGACCCCAGATGGCTGCGAACAGCAATTAAGAAGGCGGAAAATAAAGAAGATTTTACGGCGACAAGACGGGACAGCACCCCGGTTGATAGCGTTGGTAACGAGATTCTGACCGGTACGCAGTCCCCGATCTGTTTTTTACGCTTCTGTTTGCCGAGATGGTATTCTGCACCACGGGAACCCACCAAATTGCGCTTTTTTACGAGAAATAGTTCTTGTTTAAATACGTTTATATAGTTATGATGGTGGGTATAATCTTACTTTGCGGTGAATTTCTTGTCTGAAAACGCTCTTGTCCAAAAAATTTACATTTATATTCGTGACACTGCGGTGAGGTACGCTTTAATTATGATTTTAAGAGGCACATTCACCCAAGCAGGAAGTTAATAAAAGAGAAATCTGAAGATTTTTAAATGTACTTTCTTACATTTCTTTTCAAGTTTGACTCATCTGTAGTATTTTTTTCCCTCTTTGTTATGAAGATGACATTGTTCTATAATTCTATGCATAATGTTTTAATAAACGTGAAAAATAAACTGTTTTATTTTATAAATTGATTACTCTCAGTATTAGTTTTATTGCTTGTATCCTCAGAGAGATTCGAATTTGCTTAACATTGATATCCGATAAAGTTTGTGAAGCGAGGAATAGATGAATATACAGGATGCAATTATGAGCCAAATGTGGCAAACAGACATACAGTATTCACTTTCAGTTACAATAATATTTAATAACAATATTAACTCTGTTAACGAGCTTCCTGTAATGCACGAAATACGTAAGTATGTATCATGTGCGTTCTTCCAAATTGGGGGAAAAATAAGCTTACATATAGTTGAAAATCAACGTTAAAAGTACTTAACATAATACAGCTATGTAATGTAATATTACATAATATAGCAAACAGGGTCGTACATACCTTGCAGCTTCCGAGCCAAAAAGGCCATGCAGCTGCTTGTTTTCGGCCCGGAAGCTGCAAAGTATATACGACCCAGTTTGTTTACTCATCTGGCATGCAATGTCTTAATTTTGTGTGTAATATTTGTGTTAACTTATTCCTAATTGTTTATAATTCATGAATTAATATATTTTTATTTCGAAAATTCTAATTTTAGCTGTGAGGATGATCGCTACGCGGTCGAAACGATCATTAGCAAAATAAATAGTTGATACCATACATCTTTTACTTACCATACTTCAATATTACGAGGTATCTACCTCACCAGCGATCTAATTAATAAGATTATGCTTATTAAGTACCGGGTTTTGTATTTGCTCTCAACATATTCTTCAATATTTGAAGGTAAAAAATTCTGAAATAATCTGTTTTCTTCTTATTTCGTTTAGTGAGTGAGTCATCACATCATGTGATTCAGATTTACATATTAAATCAAAATATCAATTAGTGAAGAGATGTCAATTTTCATTACTGCATGAGCATGCTTTAATATCTGGTAGAGAAAATTGAAAAGGCCCAACGAAAGAAATGCGCAGCGATATTGAGTTGCCCTCGGATGACTTTGCAACATGTGTGTACGAGGATGCAGTGTCCGTGGCTCACCTATAACATGCTGTGTGCGTGAATATTCAAGCAGGCGCAGATGTTTCAGCTCCGTATTGTATGTATGCAAATGAGTTAGTGCGCTCTGCAATTCCCCTCCGGTGGACGCGGAATCGTGTCCCGGATTGTCGCACGGACCTCCCGGACATTGGAACGGGGTATGGAGTTCGAACCCTGGGGCACACCCGAGGACAGCAGGTGGCGCCGCGAGGACAGCAGGGGTGCGGAGACGAGACAAGGGGCAGCGCTAGTCGGAACAGTTTGGGAGGACGAGTTCGGAAACATGGCGTAGTACAATGAGCGTGTGTAAGATAGTTATATTTCTTCACACAGAAATAAATTTGGTGAGATAAAATAATTATATTTACTGTTACCACCTAGAATGCTTGTACTAGAAAGTAATTGCTGATGTAATCCCTCAAGAGTGAAACATAATTCCTACATAAAAGAAGAATTTGTCTGAACACTGAATTTCGATCGCGTTATTCATACTTTTGGGATAAAATAGGTATAATAGTTCTTTATATTTATCTGCTAAATTCAGTTACTACTCAAACAAATATAAAACAAGTTTTTAACAATATTATACTCAAAGAATTTCATCTAACACATACCTAATTTTACATATATTCTATTTATCTTACATAAAGGAAAAGGGATTTTTAGAAAAAAGAATTTTTTGTAACAATAAAGCAAAACGGGGTAGCTTTTTGTTACAAAAAATAACTTTTTCTAATCATCAAACTGATCCCCACCCATATACAAGATTTACAAAGGCTACTTTTTTAAACATTTTGTTCCAGTTTTTTTATAAATAACTAAAGAAAATCAATACATTTACCTTCAAAGACGTCACAAGTATCCCAACATATGCCTCTGTGACTGATATATAATATTCTAGAGTTTTCACAAATTCAGCGTATTATTGTACACAACACTTGTGTCAAAATGACCAATATTTGATGGAGACTTCTCGTTGCAACGACCAGTCACGGCGCAGCTCCTGCCTTTTGTCTCTGCAATCCCTCACCCGCAGGCCGGGCAAACTGCGCTCCGTAGGTTTTATTGGAAACAGCACGTATATCGATAAAGTCTTCCACATGACCTCTAAAACGCCACTTTTAAATGTCATCATTTGTTCGTTTTCTGAATACATCTGCGTACGTGTAGACGTCTCTCAATCTCACTCAGCGTGGCTGGTCTTTCCCAGCGGCCAAACTGACGGTGATTAGCAGCTTTCTCGACGTTCCCCGTTTTCGCTTATTTGTGTGTGTGTGTGTGTGTGTGTGTGTGTGTGTGTGTGTGTGTGTGTGTGTGAGTGCGAGAGAAAGAGAGAGAGACAGAGATAGAAGACAGCGGCAGAGGGAATGGAGGAAAGGAGAAATGTTATACACATGTTTTATAAATATTATATCATTAAAATCGGTTCAAATGAAAATAAAAATAAATTTATCTTCATTACACGTATTTCTGCTGGCTAATTTTCTTCCTAATAGTTCCAGAACTCAAAGGATAGTGATGACTGTGACCGGGAGGGCCTAGGATTCGAAATCCGGCTACGAGATAGTGTCGTTGATATATAGGTCGATTTCAGTCGGGTCTGGTAAAGAATTTTAGCTGCCGTCTGCTCTGATCGATAGTTTTCCATATTACCATCAATACCACATGAATGAAAAAAGCGGTCCAGGACCGCTCGCGATTTTTCCTTCCTCTTATGTTCCTTGTGCTATCCCTCCCCTTTCTCACACACATTTACTCTTACATGCACAACACTATGAATATGTGGGGAAAGAATGGCTGGCTGGGGCAGTGTCCGGCTAGGGGGAAATACCGAGCGCGTGAAATCCCCAGCAACCTGTCGTATATGTCGGCGCTAGTATCTCAGCGGGTTAGGAACACAGCCATATCCCGGCATTAAAACTTCATTATGCTTAAGGGACTAATGACGGTAGCAGTTGACGTGCCCGAATAGTAGAAGAAGAAGGAGAAGAAAAAGAAGAAAAGTGCAAAGATGGAGAAGATGATTTGAAGAATAATAGATTTTTTTGTAATATCGTTTAATTGCAGTAGAATATTGGATGTAGTATAACTAGATAGCGAAGTGTAGAAGTTGACATGGATTAATTCAACCTTTTAGTTAAAAAATACAAATATTTGACAAATTTTTAACTTTTCTCTGCAGAATTATGTGAGGTTTTGTTGCTTTATTGCGTGAAATGTATTAACACTTAATACATTCTTCACAAGAAAAGTGTAAATAAACAAATGATAAAATTATTAGATGTTGATTTAGTGAAAATGGATGCAGATGATTCTGAAGACTCATCATATGGAAGCCACAACTTCAGTGATTCTGTTTTTTCTATTCGTTTAAAAATATTATGTTCGCTTAAAAAATATTATTTCTTTATATATATATATATATATATATATATATATATATATATATATATTCTCTGTTAACTAATCTAACATTGATGTATATAAATATAGTCTATTTGCTATTTCATTAAAGAATTGCCGTTTAATTTTATATTTAATGTTAAAATGTTTAATGTTGCAATAAAAGTTAGTTATGTTGCAATAAATAATGCAATTTGTTGATTGTACTCATTTTGTAATATTAATGTAATATACAACATGGCGCGCGGCAATAGTGTAACGGTTAGCGTATCGGACTATTCCCAAGTTGGCGGGATTTTTAAGGGCGAAAAAATCCATCGTACGCCTTTCTTCGGAGGGAAGTAAAGCCGGCTGTCCCATGTTAGTAGATTTCCTTGCATCTAAAAGATCCTCAAGCCTAAATGACGCCTGTGAGCTAAATTGAAACCGCCTGTTTCTCGCCCAAGAAATACCTCCTTTCTCTGCTAGTTGGTGAAAGGAGCGTTGCGAAATTTGCGTGGTCAGACGGAAAAGCAGGCCTCATGGCCTGAGTCTCACCACGTAAAATGAGGCATTAATTCAATTCAATTCAATTCAAGATGATTTCATTCAGTTTCACTCATTATCTTAGCAATTAGAATTTCTGTTCCATAGATCCTCAAAATTACACACTGCGCGGCGTGGCGGGGCGGGGCGGGGCGCTGCGCGCGGGGGCGGCCCGGGGTCAGCGGAGGGCGGCCGGGGCGGGAGGCAGCCTGTGCCGCCACGAGTACCGCTCCCGACAGCGCCGCGCCTGTCGCTACACGTGTTCGGGGGTGGGGGGGGGAGGGGGCAGGGCGACCGCGCGCGACAGATATTGCGTTACGGTGCATGAATAAAACATCGCTCCCGCATTTTTACCCCGGTCACTCCCAAATAAACACACGCCGCCGAGTTCTCGAGCGGGTTAAAAACAGAATGAAAACGCATTACCGCGGCCGTTGTGGGAGTGGGGAGGTTGATCTGTCGGATTTTCCGTTTGTGGTTCCGGCGTTTACAGCTCCTCCGCAAATATACTGCTGGTTGACTCGTGGTTTTAAAAATTGTTACGATAATTGAGCTAAGGGAAAAAGGTGTACTGGAAGAATTGGGTTTGCTTGTCGCCGAGACCTCTCAGAAGCTCCGTGCTTCGCACGTGTAATATATTGTACAATATATACAATTGTAAAATATTGTGCAATATACAAATATTGTACAAATATTGTACAAATATTGTACTTCAGAAAACTTTTAAAGGAAACATATTTCTCGCGTTGTGATACAGCAAGTTGACATATTGAGTCATGGAATAATGAAAAATTATAATTTTTTGGGTAACTATGTGAAGGAGGTGAAAATATTTCAGAACCTTTTGAATTGGTCTTGGTGAGACTAAATACAATGGTGAAATAGCAATTTGGAAGATACCATAAAACGAAAAAATTAAATATAATGTAGTGTTAATTTCGGTGTCCGCCGTGAGGCGCTAAAATCGATTTCCTTTCTTATTTTTTCTCCTAAAGATTATTATTAATCCCGACATCATTGAATGAGCGCACAGGGAAATGTCATGAAAGAAATCGCGCAAAAAATTATTTACTCCCCTACAAAATATATTATTTTACCCTTCAAATGTTATATTCAGTGATTCCTATTTTGACGTGATACTTCTAACGCGGAACGGTACACACCCTTAAAAAAATATTTTCTCGGGAAAATGTAAAATTATCCATTTTTGCACAGTGATTTTTCCGTCAGATGTGCCTGATTGTTCTTAACTCATCCCAATATTCACTGAAATGCCCTTTCACAAGACATGATTCTTTGCGATATTTCGCCTTTCAAATTTTGCTTCTGTAGGTGGTCCATTTTTAAGTATTATCAACTTCGCTATCCCTTGTTTCTCTGTGGCTTTAATAGAAAATTAAGATCATTATTCGTTTTTAATTTATTCTAAATTTATTTGAAGTTATTATGTTTTCCATTATTTGATGCTTTTTTCACACATAGTTTCAAACATTGTAATGATCATATACTGATTTTTTTCAAATTACAGCAATACGGCTCAATTCAAAATATCTAGAAAAATCAAAATAATTGTCTTGTTCGTCAATTTTCATTTTTTCAATTAAAGATAACTAGGTAACATTCTTAATCCTTTATTACTGACTTACTGTTAAACTACTAAAAATTTATATAACTGACTATTGCAACTTAAATTCTGTTATAAAAACTGTATCCTTTTTTTATTATTATTATTATTATTATTATTATTATTATTATTATTACTATTGTGATTCTTCTGACATCTCTTTGTTCACCTCTTCTTTAGAAATGAACCAATGCCAAAAATTGAGTTGTCTTCTCCGAGCAGATAATTTTTTAATACAGAATATGATCAAATCGATTTGTTCATTTATTGTACTTTGATGATTCCACAGTTTCAAAATTTTTAGTTGTGTATCTGAATTGATATGTATTACAAACTTTTTTCAAATGTCTCTTCATCAATGTTATGATATTGATCTTACTGCGAAAATAATAAATAGTTCCAAACCACATGAACTACAACATTATAGACTATTTTTGTACATTAAATGATGTGTCTCAGGTCAAGATTATCCTGTTATCTATTTCCGGAGCATCACCAACGATGACCCAACCTAATCCAAGAGACCGGGTCTGTATTTAACGCACTTTTTTGTTCTCCAGCTCCCTGGTCCTATTTCTACTTCAAGCCCACCATCGAAGAAACTCCTTGCGACAGATATGGACAGCAACATCGGGCAGAGGCGCCCGGGACGTAAATTTTAGAGGCAGCGAGTTAGAGCACATAAAACTAAATTGGGAGGCTTCTGCACAGCCCAAGTCAAGCTGCGGGGGAGGGGCGGAAAACAAGGCAGACCCACTCTCCCCCTCGGGGCGAGCCAGGAGGTGCGGACAGCGCTAAGGAGGAGAGTGGGGCCGAGGGGGAAACACGGGGCAACGAGGAGGAGAGTGGGAAGAGGTGAAGCTGTTTTTAAAACGGTGGGTGAGGAATACGCGGGCCCAGTCGCGGGGAACGCAGCTTTTAAGTGTGCTCGTTTCAATTTCTTTGCCAGCAGTCAGTAGGGACCGAAAAGAAACCTTGGTGATTCATGCTTGCGCGAAGATTCAACCTGATAAGTTGACCCTCACTCAGAAAAATAATTCTTTGTAGCGAAAAGAGTTTCGTGAGCTGCGTAAAGGCAGTTGCAGAAAAACGGTTCAAATAAGTACTGCGTGGTCAATGTGGACGTTTGTTACGTAACTGCCAACACAATTCACTTAATCAGGAATCAGCTCATGCTAATATTCTGCTTTTTCATCAAAAACCTTTAATGAAACTATCCTATTTTGAGGGTTTTAGATTCTTTTTTAGTTCAAACTCTACATTTATGCAGAATATTTAATGAAAATTGAGTATTTATGACTAGGTTATAGATAGATGTTGTCAGTTGCAAAATAATTTTTATGCTCTCATTATGTCATAGAAATTTTGAAGGGACAATAAAACATTAATTTACATAACTGATACAAAATAATGACATTACTCACGAGTCATATTCTTAATAGGATATGAGCAATTCCAAATTCATATTGCCTTTATTCGATATATAAACAGCTCATGTCGATATCGTTTTTTAAAAGGAGGATTTACAGTAGTTCTCTTCGTAATACCGAGACGAAGTATATGTTCTAAATTGGGATTCGAGCCTAGAACCATCCAAATGTTGGTCGCCACAATACTTCTCAGCCACTTTTGTCGGCGTAATAAAATTAAAGCTCTGTAAGTTAAAACAAATAGAAACAAAATACAAATAATTAGGATCAGTGCCTGAAAACAATATCCAAAGCTCCATGAGTTGTCACTTCCCATCAGATCCACGAAGAATTAAACTTACAATATATTGAGGGAATGCAAAATACGAGGGTTTTGTACCGGATTTTTGTATTTATGTAATGTAAAACAAAAACATTAATGCCATATAACAGGTGAAATATGAGGAATTACTTAAATGAATTAAAATCAGTCATCGAGGATACTGGGCATCAGATAATGAACATACTATATTGATTAAATAAATTTTGGACAAGTTAGAATTGTTTTTCAAAAACAAAGCATATTAAAACCGTGGGACATTGTTGATATAAGACAAGAGAGGCCTAGATGCATAGTTGCGGGGGCGACAAGAGCGGATCGATTCGAAGAATAACAATCAAACAAGTGAACTTTTTAACACAGATAGTAGGTGAAAATAAACACTTTGGGGGAAGATTTGGATTTGGTAGCATAAGGATCTATGGCCGGGCATTATGTAAAAACATTTTTTAGTTTGAGAGAAAAAATGGACATGTGGTCCACGATTATCAGAGAATAGGGGAATTATCGAGCAAAACTAATTAGCGAGAAAAGAATAATATTCGTGAAAAATTTAGATTGCGAATTTTAGTAAAACGTATAAAGTGAATTCAGAGTGGTAATATGTAGGGATACAGTATGGAAATATGAAAATAGACGCTGATCTAGTCACATCGTCATGATTGCCGAAATATCTTCGCAAAGCAAAAATTAGACAATAATTGCAAAAAAAGACGGTAAACAAAATAGCACGGCTAATACATGTTTAATTATAAGGTATGAAATTAAGTTAGAAAAATAATTATCATTTTTCCAAATAGATATATGATGGCCATCAAAAATATGTAACATTAAGGAAAATACAAGGAGATATTGTCAAATATTAAAAACCAAAATAATATTAAAATAGAGATAAATTCTGCAGTCGACACTTCATGTCGCTGATAATTTCATAACAAATTACAAGGTGTTTGATTTTGATTAGGATTAGTTAAAGGAATAATAAACCGAGTATTTCTTAACAAATTTAAATTATCGCCATTCGATACTCGTATGAGCTGTGTTTTCTAGCCCACGAGAAGAGACGAAAACACCCTAAGATAATGTAAGTATGTTAACGCCCAGAACCTTTGTTACACATTAGAGCTAGACACTCCATTAAATTAAATAATAAATTATAGGGGTAATAATAAGGGAACGTAGGGAAAAATATAAATGGGATTATATTTGTATTACAGAAAAGACGACTTATCACAGTTGATTATATTAGGGAGCTGAATATTGAACTGTCTCAATGGCATTCCCAACGCTGGGCAAAATGTAGTTGATTTTATTAGAGCGAAAATATGAATTATTACAATACAGAACAATATATATCACATGACCAAACACTTTTTTCCAACATGACACAAATTCCTTCCCTTTCAACTTTCAGGTTCGTCAAAATCCCACCCACAATAAAAAAAACAAAAACAAAAATAAATATTTCTTCAACACATTCCTAAAATAAAATGAAATTGAGCCTGACAAGGAATCTCAACCCACTCATTTGAAAGTAATAAGTATAAATAATCTTTCAACATACGATATTCAGGACGCACATACTCAGGCGACCTCTTCTGTCAATCTCCTCCATCAATACGGCAACAAAGTAACATAAGCCAGCAGTGATCCGCATGTTATGAAGCAGCTATATCTCTTACAGCGTTTCATGAGCGCGAGAAACTCAACCTGTAACTATGAATGACATCGGTGACGAAAGGAACACGGAATTAGTCCACAAGAGCCAGCACGGCAAGCGGCCTAATATCTCAACTCAACGCATGACGATTTAAACATTAACAGAAGCTTTACAGTTGGTTCAGTAATACGTCAATACTACCGGGCTAACCTATTGTCACACCACTCGATTTCCATACTCTGAATGCAGGGTCATATCACGATCGATGTACAGAGAATTTGCAGTTGACGAAGTGAGTTCGCGATATTATTTCTCGGAATAATCTCGTTTGTCCTGCCTCTCAATCTCCTATTGCTCCGTCATTCACAACATCGTAGCCGTTACAAAAATGATTTATATGTAAATTAATATTTTAAATGAGTTTACTAGAGCTCTCAAATTTTATATTGTTTCATCGCATACTTATTTTAAAAAACATAAGGGCATCTAAGAGTACGCAACCTCTAAGTATTTGCAAACTAAATGTCCAACAGTTGACTAAATTGCTTCGTTCGACACATAGTAATTTTGTTCTGTGTAACATTTTAGCAGGATTTACAGAGAGATATGGTACGTCTAGAAAGAGGAGAATGAAAGAATTAGTTTTTGGCTTGGTGAATTTGCGCCCAAGTCGATCTAGTTCAGGATTTCTACAATCAGTCATTCAAATGAAGGTTATCAGTACATCCCGATGAAGAGGAGAATCTCCACGCAAGTCAATCAAGTAGAGGAATTCCGCAGAAGTCGAATAGGTGAAGAATCTCTGTGTAAGTCGATCGATGGAGAACCTTCGTAAAAGTCGATCAAGAGGAGGATCTTAATGGAAATCGCTAAAACAGAGGATATGTGTGTAAATCCATAAAGTGGAGTATTTGTGCACAAGTCGAACGATTTGAAGTTCGCAGATCACGTCGATCAAGCTATGATCTCTGTACAAATCGATAAAATGGGTAATTTGAAGCAAATCTGTCTAACGAAGGATCTCTTGCATGTCGATCACCGGGTTAATTTTAAAACTAGTGAGTAATAACGGAACTGTTGCCAATATCTTCTGTTTTAATGGGGAAGACATGGTCTGCGTTTACATCGAAGGCTGTATATTCACTCATGGTCAATTTTAAGTTAATATTTTTGGAGACTTATCTTTTATATCCTCTCAGTGAACAAAGATTGTAGGTCACGTAAGAGGGATCATGCTTTCCCCCAGAAAGCAAATTTTGACGGTCGGTAAGTAACTTCAAGTTAACGAACTTTCAAGATTGGTTTTCCCCTAGTTAGCAATTCTGATTATATAACCTCTAAGCTCTAAGCCATCGATATGTTCATATGCAAAACAGGCCAAGGACATACATTTTTTTCCGTATTTGGTACAAAATATTCAAAATTAGTTTCTATAAATACTTCACACTACTTAATTCAATTCTCAACTTTTTGTAAAATTTTCTGTTATGATCTCTAGTTCTCCTTCTGTCTTTTCTTACATGCCTTCACGTACTTTTAATTACGAGCTGTTTAGAATGATGGACGCATAATATAATTTTGTTATTCACTTGAAGCTTCATGATATATATTTCTCAACCAGTTACATCTCAGAATTTTCTCTTTAGGAAATGAAAAGATATGAGACATTGCAGTAGTTTCTTTTCCAGACACTAATATACAACATTCATCACAAAAAATAGTTGTCAATTAATACTATACATTTATCGACGAAACTTATATTTCTACTTTTATTTGAACTATCAATTAGGTAAGAAGCATTTCGAAGAGCTTTGATAGAACTCAAGTCCATTTATCTACGTAGAAAACGTTGACAAATGTTTCCAACTCGGCCAACGTCTGTCGTCGGGAGCTGACACAAGACGCGGCAGATGGGTGGGGAGAGTCTGTTCGTCTGAGACGGCAGTTCTTTGTCCAGAAGAACTGTGCGCGAGTCCACGAACAAACAACGTTATTAAAATAAGTCAATTTCTTTGATTTTCTCGGACTGCGAGACTTAACTCAATCTTCTTTGCGGGGGCGCTGACTGTCCATCCATCATGCAAGTAGCGTCGCGGCGTGGGAGCCGGCACGAGGGGGACAGAGGGGGGCGCCGCCGCCTGCAGAGGCAGCCACAGCTACAGGGGCGGCGAGGCCAGGGAGGGCGGCGAGGGCGGCGAGGGCGGCGAGGGCGGCGAGGGCGGCGAGGGCGGCGAGGGCGCCAGCCCAGCTGAGGCAAGCTCTAAGCACCCGACAAGTAAGTTAGTGTAGTGCATGTGAGTGTAAGTGTGTAAGTAAGTGGTGAGGAAAGGATAACGAAGAGGAAGGAATGATCGTTTGCGGTTCGTGGCCCGATTGTAGTTTTATCAACCTTTAATAATTTTGTTTCAGGCTTATTTTTCAACAATTCTCTCGAAACCTTACAAAATCTCGTACTCTACTGTCAAATAGTGTCAAGTTCTCGCTCCCTACTTCTAATTAAAGACTTGCTGACGAAATTTGCACTCTGGGCTCGCTCATTCAAATTGTTACACTCGATAATTATTGTACTTATTTAAATATCGTTTAGAAAAAAAAACAATGAATTATTTCTTTGAGTTTAAAATATGATCCTTCATTCCTTTCTCTATACTATCATAACATGTTGATATTGTTTTTCGTGTATTTGATGTTCCAAGTCCTGAATCGGTTTTTCTAGCTTGTATGATACTTGGTTTTGTAAGTATTGTCATAAACTCAGGCAATCCTTCTTTCTTCTAAACACCTGTAAAGCATAAATATAGTAGTAAATATTATTTTAAAAGGCATTCATTATTTGCTCGTGTCCTTCCTATTGTAGATCCAAGAGCAATGGTGCTAGCGAATAGCTTTAACTGTTTTAAATGATTAATCAGTTTCAACTGGATTTCTATTTTGGAAGAGATACGGTCTCGGTATCGTGTCGGAAATTGTGACCGGGATACCAGTTTGTTTCAAAATCTCCGGAAGACGAACTGACGACAGCCCTTAGTGTACCGCCTTCTCTACCTTGTTCATCATTATGCAGAAACAGTGTTTTTCATTACATTTTTACTTTCTCATATACGCACGTATATAATATACGCACTATACGAAAAAATATTATAATCTCTTGAACTGACTGGAATCTGGTGTAATTGAAGAACTGCATCCTTACACTCAGAACAATGGTACAAGCACCTTGACGGGGCCAAGGGCAAATGTGTAAATGTACAGTGCCGAGAAAGACCTACGGGGAGCGAATGTTGTTTCACCATAGTGTAGAAAATGAAATAATTTCTTTATTTTAGAATTCCGAAACTATCTGTTTCATACGGAATTAAAGTCGATGCCAAACAGTAATGGATACAGTGTTTAATCACAATTGATTTTTTTTGATGATTTTTCATAACTGATCTATTCAGTAATCAAAATGCGTATATATGTGATGGTAGACTTGGTGCCTATTTTTCATTGAAATTATATTAGCGCAGACTTGGAGTTGGATTTCTTCTGAAACTTCGTTTTCATCGAATTACACTCGTATGTACGCATAGCACTGATAGTTGATATGCTTATTTGCCTATAAAAATACACATTAACCTAAAAAATAAGAAGATGGAAAGTGATGATAATGCTCTGAGTCGCTTTAAGGATTATGATTAATATTTCATTCACATAAATATTTTGTCATACTTTTATTTGACTTCTCGTATTTAAAAAAAAACAATGGTCCAACCTCCAAAATTTCCCATTGTTGACAATATGACAATACAGTTTCACTTTTTGAAGACACTCGCGCGGCATGCTTACATTCCGAAAGCCTGTAGCGCAAATATCTCATTACTCATGGAATAATCCGCCTGATTACTCTTCTCGTTTCCTTTTTCAACAGAACAAAAGCCGCTCTCTGTGCAAGCGCGTTTCTTGCAAAGGGCTTCTACGCTCCGTAGAAATTCATAACCCCATTAAGCGGGTCTCAGAACGCGCGCCGTCGCGGGTGACCGGAAGAGAGATCCGGGCCCAAATGCCGCCGCCATCTTTAAGCTCTGCTTTCGCGTAGCGCGAGGGGGGCTTAATGGGGCACGGCGGAGCGTCTTCCTCTTGCAGGAAGTCCGTCTTAAAATTTTACGGCACGTGGAAAATTGTCGTGGCTGACGGCATATTGTCGTTGTATCCTTCCGCGGACCACTGACGCCGCGACGATGCTCTGACTCAGAGAACAACTGACGGCGGAAAATCGCAAGAGTTTTGTACAGTGAGAGGTTACGAAATGTCTCGAGAAAAATAAATGCAACGTGTATAATCTGTGTTGGTTGGATGATGTTGAAATGATGTTTACTTATCAGTATTAAGATTGAAATTATTCCATCCGAAACTATTTTTACTAATAGCTGTCTAAAAAATTGTTTTTGCTCTCCCAAAGGAAATCAACGAGCTCTTCTATATACGATAGGTCGTGATCTACAAATTGTGATATATTTTTTTCCTATTACATTTTTAATGTTTCGCTCTTCTTGGTACTCGCTCTTCATAGTACAGGAGGTGCAGAATCTCGAAATATATGAAAAAAGTTGAACAATTTAATATTCATGCAACATTCTCTTTTAGGTCTTTGTTTGTTCATAAACTTTGAGATTTGACAACAGTGTAATATTTAATTAATTGAACATATTTAAGAATAAACATTGAAAATGACGCAGTCACTGAGTTCATGACATCGGCGGGCGGCAATGGGAATATTTGTCTTCTCCGTTAAAGGGGTAATTGCCGGGTACCCGTCATTTCAGAAACATCTTCAAAATATTCCTTTCTCACGTATTTTGTATTTTTGAATAATGAAATACGACATAACATTTTTGTGAACGTCTTATCTTTTCACTGTCTGAGTGTTATATAACAAATAAGTATAATTGTTATAATGTATCACCCAGAAACTGTCTATTGTAAAAAAACAAACAAATTAGAATACAACTACATGAAATTCTTGAAAATACTGGGGGACCTGTTGCCCCTGACAGAGGTTATACTCATTTTGTGTTATTTTCTTAATTATTTAGTTAAAAGCTCCTCGGGTGGCTCATGGACAGCGTACTAGCTTTTCATGAAGGGGGCCGGTTTCGATGCCTGGCCGGAACAAAAATGAAGCTGTAGCTCTCTAATACAAATAGTCTCAGTTTCTAAAGCTACGTGATGAAGAAAGCTCTTGCAGACCAAGCTTGATACGGTGATGGGAGTACGTTATGCTCGCTACATCTCCCCCTTACCCTCAGGTGAGGGAAAAAAATAAAAACAGTGCCAAATAAAAACTGCCCAGACCTGAGAACACCGCTAGTAGGGAAACTCGAATTAATCTGATCCCAGAATGCCAAATACATACATACATGCATACATTTTGTTAGTTCAGTTACTTAAGCTTTCAAGTTCATAGCCCCCTCCACGAAATAATGTTTCATTGTAATTGAGGGGCTACGTGCCTGTACGCTTCAGTAAATAAAGTAACTAAATAACAGAAATAAAATGATTTCTTGCAATTGCATATCTCGTGATTTCCCGGTATGGCCTCGAGGAAGCGCCACCACGTTTTACGAAGGTGCTGCAATCTAGAGGCAAATGTTACAACTGCATGCGAAGCCCTTCAGCGGTACCTCCACGGTGCGTACATATTGAGGCAGGCCTCCAAAATAAATAACTTGCATTTGTGCATTATCGAATCATGTAAGTGATTATGTTGAGTTCCATTAAATTATAACATTTGTGAAAGTAAATGAACCTGGAGAATAAAGTGCGCTGCATATTTTCGAAAATGGGAAATAATATTTAGACAAAAAGAAAGGAAACGCTGTAGTTGAACTACACCGCTATCGGAAGCTGATAGTTTTTATAATTCGAGAAACAAAATTAAAGTGTTTCTCCTACGGTTCACTGCGATGGCATTCAAATAACGAAATCTACCCCAACCCCCGCATTTCTTCCCGGAACTCACGCTTGTATATTCGCTCGCGGTGTCGTCAAAACACGCCCGAAACATCGCGTCTTATCGCCCCGACAACCCAACGATTTTCGGGGACGGCGGAGCGAGCAACGGCGGCGCAGCATCCCGCGATGCTCATCTGTGCTATCTCCATGGCAACCCGTGTCCAGCCCCGCCGGAGCCGGCCAATCGCGAGGCGCAGCCCGCTACAGCTCCGCGGATCCATGGCGAGACCCCGCTGAACCCCGCGCCCGCTGCCCGCCGCCCGCCGCCGACGTGCCGCCGCCGCCGCTGCTGCATATGGGTCCCCGCTGATGCTAGCCTGACCTCCTGTGACCCGCCGCAACCTGGCGATCCGACCTCTAACCGTGGCTGACACGAGGAAGTTGACCAGCGAGCTATCTTCCGACGTGGAGTCGACCCTTAGCAGGTGAGTCGACGCGAAGGGCGGTCCGGTCCGGGCCGGACCGGGCCGGGCCGGTCCCGGGGCCGCTTGCCGCCGGGTCGCAGCGCGCTGCTAGTAGCCCCGTAGTTGCGTGACGATCCCCTCCCCCTCCCTTCGCTTGCCACTATACTCGTCGCCCCACACGTTACGCTAACAGGCGGGGGAAGGGAGAAGCCAGGTTTACAACAAAACCACAGAAACAATTCGCAACATCCCCTTTTGAGTTAATTGGGTCAGTGTGATGCGTGAGCGTTGCACCCTCATTGGGAAATCCCGTTTGCCTACGTTTAATTCGGTTTATTGAAGAATTGATGTAGTAACCATATGCACATACAATGTTTTGATGTACCTTGCCGAAATTTATCGCTTTGTTGTTATTAGTGTAAGATAGACACGAATAAGTTAAATATTCTGTTAGAAATGTCATGGCAAATGCATTGTGGACAAGTTCATGTCCCACATATTATTCTTCCTATTGTCTGCTATCATAAAAGATCGAGGATTCTACTGACGTATTCACAGAGTCAAACTAACATTTCATGAAATTTTGGCTAGTTTTACATTCTGAAGATTTAATAGTTCGCGAAACCTGACCATCTATGTGCATCATTGAGATGCATTTATTGATTTACGTATTTGTAACTTATGCCTGTAAACACATTGATGGACAACTGTATGCAAGTACTATAGACATGTATGTTGTGACCTGAATAGTTGATTAAATGAAAATAGTTTCAACATAATGGTCTCTCCTTTCACCTTTAAATGAGGCGTGTTGTCATAATAACGATTACTCTTGCTGTCTTTCAGTGAAATACTTTCCACTAGAGACACGCGACTGAAAGTGCGAATGTACCTGAGCCCCTGATATTTGAAATCACATAAAAATTTGGTTACAAATTAATAGATGCATTATCAAATCACGTGGTACACTTGATCATACCTATGTATATGTGCTACTTGTCACCTTGTGTCCAGTGTTTTGTAATTAACACTCGGCATCTATAAATCTAGCCTTGTTTATAGAAAGATGAAAAAGAACGCTGCATTATAGAATTCAACTTCGCGGTAGTTGCTTGACGGGTTGCATATGATGTAGGCGCTGTGTAGCCACATGCATGTGAGGAATGTTTACATGGTAGCTTTTAAAGTTTATTATCATTGTTCACTTGTGAGGATTGGTCCAAATTTACAGCGTTACCTACTTGAAATTCCTGGAATTATGAATTATGGGAAACCGCTGATACCTGAGTGGCAAGTAAGAAACTGATTCTACTAGATATTTACATCTGTCAAATGTTATGTTACAGTATTTAAATTGTGGCATTTGATGTACATGTTGTGTAATATATTCAAATATGCTATAAATGTGATGAAGTGCTTAAAGTTATTCGAGAAAATGCATGGTTCCTTTTCTCAATTTTGCCGTATATAAGGTTATGTACCCCTTGATAATCACACAGATAATTATTTCAAATATTTGATTTTGATGTAAGGTACCAAACGAGTGTTGTATTCAACAGGTGTGATGTCGGGAATTCTGCAACAAACAACTCACTGGATTTCATCAATCCAACTACAGAGAAAAACATGAATTGGTAAATACATTTTTGTGTAATTACATATTTGATGGTAATATTGTAAAGTTGCTTCATTGGAATAATCTCATGTCAAAAGAATTATACATATTTTTATTGATGGCATGTATATGAATCTAAAACCTGTACTTATTTTGTGTTTCAGGTATGCTCGTATTGTCGCTCATCATCCATATGTAGTTCTTATAGCAGTAGCTGTATTTGCTGGAACATGTTTGGTCATTCCTCTCACCACCAAAACCCTTCCAAATTTCACAGACCCTCAATTGGTGAGTAAAATATTATGCCTGGTATTATTCTCAGTGACTTCAATGCACTAATTGCTTTGCAATTATGTAGGGATTCGAAGCACGAGGCACAGCCCTGGCTCAAAGGCTTACATCGTGGGAGAATCTCATTAGATCCACAGGACTACATGGACAACTCACTGTTAATCCAAAGGAATTGAAATATGAAAATGACATATCTAATATTATATCTTCCTTTAATACAAAATTCAAGGTAATAATATAACATTTTTGAATAATCTTATTTATTGTAGTATCAATAAAATTAAGGCTTTTACTCTTCCTCCAGCGCATCAATGGAACAGCTGTTGCGGACAGGATGACAGCAGATGATGAAGATATTGATGAAGATGTTTTTCCTCATATCTCACCATCTACCACTCGTCCTAACAATATACCAGAAGTATTGAAAGTCACCACTAACTGGAAATATTCAGACAATACACCTGGGGTAATTTTTTTGATCTTTGAAAGTTCTATCTGAACTGTGATGTTTATGTAGAAACTTAGTTACAAATTTCCTACACTTGCACAGAACATTTTAGTAGGTATAATTGTAGAAGAGAATGTCATAAATAATTATACTTAAACTCAGGTTTCTCTTATTTCCCAGTTCCTCCTGATTTTCCTGACATTTTCAATCAGTAAAATTTATTTAAGTCTGCTAACAATTGCTTTCTTTCCATGATAATTGCAGCGGACAGTGAGACCTGTGCAACTTTTACAGGGGGAGCGTCGTGTGCAAGCAGATGATAGCATAAGTGTCTTGGAACAACAGTTGGGCATTGATGCTAGGTTTTCTGTAGGCGATGAACATCTGTGGACACACAATCACACCCATATTTCCCATGATGGATTTTTTTGCAATGCTCCAAGTAAGCAGAGCATGTTAAATGCTATTTTAAAATATTTGTGTTTTTATTTTAATAATAATATTGTATGTTGATTATTATCAATATATTAATAACATGTTTACTCATTGTTGTTTCATAATTATTTGTTAATGATAATTTTTTCTAACTGTTTATGACAAGTAAATATACATAGTTTACAGTAATTCTTAAATAAAACAACATCATATATAAATTATTTGAACAAGCTTACAATTCTTCACAATTGAGAAAATTTAGCTTCCAATTCCTTGGATCAATTTTCTGACATCTGTGTTGTTGAAGAGGTTCCGTTCCAAGTGATATAAACATTTTTCATTGTTCTTAGTCTTCCATAATAGTTTTGGGTCAGGAGTTCAAGTAAACAGAACATGGTGCTGATCATTGATTTACATGTGAAGCTTGAAGAACTTCCCTTTCAAATACTTAAAAAACTTCATTATTAAAATTAACTTTTACTATATTGTGAGGTATTTTAATCCATTAATATTGGCATTCAATATACACAGTTTCAATTTCTTATGACGTTTTTTACACTCTTTTCTAGCCTTCTAAATTATTCTAAAAATCTTATTCATTAAAGTGTGAAGAAGAAATTAATCAGTATGTCAGTAAATGATAGAAAATCAAACTATGATCTTTGTTATTATCGGAAGAAAACAAAAGTTCAAAGTTGGTGTTAAATATTCCGTCTCTGTTAGGAAAAGTATATGCATTGAAAATTTTTTGTATTGCATGTTGTTTTCTGTTGAATTATTTCTGACTTCAATTAGATATGGACATTTCAGGTACTAGTTGTAACTGTGTCATAATTGGTCCACAAAATTTGTGATAGTACACCTATGAATATTTATTGTTCTTTGAACTGGCATTATACTTTGTTTTCTACTGGTTTTCTTTGCTGAGAATCAAAAGGTTATTCATAGAAAAAACTTTTTGTAGTGATTTGTGTGGTGTGCATATGTTTTGCTGGTTAGTGTCTCTACTCTCACATGCCATTTATGTTGCAGGTATGGATTATGCACGTGTTGTATTCAGTGGAATTGAAAATGGTGACCTCTTTACTTGGGAAGCAATGCTTAGTATGTGTCGACTTCAAATTTTGTTATCTCAAGGACCCCAGTATCACCATTTGTGTGAGACATCATCTCATAACACATGTTGTCAGCCATGGTCACTCCCTAATTACATTACTTTACTTCAAAATAGAACGTCCTGTCTCAACATTACCGTGGGTACTTTTTTATATCGGCTCTATTCAAAGACAATTTAAAATATACTGATATACATATCTCCCTTGAAACAGAAAGAAGATTTAAATGCTACCTTATTACTCTTGATGGAGTGTGCACCATACTTCCATAATTTGAAACTTACTCCTGGGAGTCAAGAAGCACCTTCTCATTGCATTCGACATGATGCTGTGTATAATATAATGTATTATTTGGTTGACACTGGATTTCTTCCTCCAAATGTAAGGATTTCCTCAAAACATAAGTTATTCCATGGTGGTAATATTTCTTTAAACAATTTTTCTCTCAGATCTTCCCTTTTTTCTTTCTTGGTTTCTTTTGCCCTACAATTCACTTCATTTTAAAGCAATGAAAGGTTATGTTTTAAATTGAATTTGTATTGAATATCCCTTAAATATGAGGAAAGTAAGCAATAATTTAGTTGTAAGCAAAAGAGCCCAATAGAATTTTTGTATCTTATTTTTTGATAAAACATCATTATTTAAAACTGGAACAAAATTTGGATCGTGGCACAAAAACATTGTAAATCAGATGTCAAATAATCAGATAACATGCATTATTATAACATGAACACCAATAATTTTGGTCTTTTGGAATTTGTGTTAATGAGGATTTACTGTATTATTCATAAGAAAAATGCTGTACAATTTATTGATAAGTCTCCTATTTTTTATATTTTTAGGTTACAAAAGTAATTAATCTGTAAAAGTCACATTTAGAAAATAATAAAAATGAGAAAATATGATGTAAGATTATTTTTTAAAGCTAAATTAAGGAAATTTAAGGTGTGTAAGGAAATTTTGTAAGTGAAGGAAATTTAGCATTCAATTGTTCATTTTGCATAATTATTTGACAAGAGGTTCCCAAAACTGTTCATAGCTTTGGATTCCCATACCATTTACATCCTGTTTTGGGTGTTATTGAAAATTTAGGTTTTCTCAAGGTTTCATACTCATAATAATACAAATAGTTGGTATTGTTGTTGACTTTTTCTCTGAATTTCAAAATATTTTCTGTTTCAGGATAGCAGAAATGCTACAATTCTTAGTACAATGCTTATTTTGCCATTAGCATGTTCATTTCAATCGCTGGATTATTATACTTTTCTTCAAGATAAAAAATTAGAAGATGGTAATGTGAGAGTAGTGGCTATGGAATTTGGTACGTACAGAAATATGCTAGAATTTATTTAGATATAGAAGATTACATTTATTTCTTTTTATTTGTATGTAACTTTCTGTAATAATTACATTCTTCTCTGTATCAGGTCTGAAAAATAAACTTTTTGATGAGAGTCTCATACGAGACACTTGGATGATTGCTGCTGGAGGCTTATTTGTGTTAATTTGTATGTGGATGTACACTAGCTCCATTTTTATTACTGCAATGACAGTCATAGCCATTGCTTTTTCCTTAGGAATCTCATACTTCATGTATACATTGGTGTTTGAATTGCGCTTTTTCCCATTTATGAACTTACTGGCTTCAATAGTTGCTGTGGGTACGTTGTTTATTCAAATTATTGTATTAGAATTTTTGTAGATTTGTTATAAATAGGCTTGTAATGATCACATTTTTTCTGATTTAGGTATTGGGGCAGATGATGCTTTCATTTTTTGCAAAGTATGGCAATGTGCGAAAGGAGAAAAAAATAATGGCACTCTAGTGAAATTAGTACATGACACATTGAAACATGCTGTTGTGTCTATGCTTGTGAGTTCAGTCACAACAGCTGCAGCCTTTTATGCTGGATATGTGAGTAATATTACAGCCATCCGATGTTTCAGGTACATACTTTGCTTCTTAACAGTTTTTGGTGTGGGAATATTAACAGTTGATGTTAAGTGACAATTTCATTAACATTATGATTTTTATTTGGAACTTAATAAAATTAGATCTCATGCTGTGTCTGTTGTAAATTATTCTTGACATACAATTTAACATATGTTATCTGTCATTTTTCTTATCTGATTATTTCTTAATTAAAAGTAATATTTTAATGTTCTAAAATTGTGTGAACAGAAAAATGTGTACAAGAAAATTACCATAATCCTTGTTAGGAATGTTCAGCATCTTATAGTTCAAATTTCAAAATTCAACTCTTGTAATTTTACCATTGTTTGTGCTACTTCATTGTAAATATTTTCTAAAAATGTTAAACAAATGATCGAAAATTTAATATAAAATTAATGTTGAGAATAACATTTTTAACTTCTTGTTGAATGTTGAATTACCTGAACCTATACTAAGAAACTAAAATAGGCCCCAAAAGAACCTGTATTAAAATGTAATATAACAGTTTCTCATACTTTTTACACATACTACATTCATTCAGCATGTTTCTCTTACGAAACCACTCAATGAAATTTCGGAAAGAAGTTGTAGTAACATTAGCTAGTTGTATTAATTTTCACAAAGGGATGTCTGCCACTAAATACATTTCACAATCTTTTTCTTCTTCTCCACTTCAAGGTCTGCCTGTATCTCTTCTACCCTGCATCTGTACATAAACACGTGCTTTGGAATGTGTGTGTGTTACATTCTTACAACATGTTGTAGTCAAGTGTCTGTAAGATAGTTCTTTGTCATTGATTGCTTGAACATATAAGTCTGATCTTATTTCCTCATTTCTGATTCTATGTAGTCTGGTACAGATCCCAGAAATTTCATTTGGCAGATTGTGACTCCTGTTCATTTCTCTCTCACAGTCCAGCATTCACTTCCAAATAATAGAGGAAGGACGGTCTTTACTCTATATATTGTCATTAAAATTTCTCTATGTGTTTTATCTTTAAGAGTTCATCTCTTGCATCTGCATATTTTCTGTAACTTTTGGATTTTTTTTCTACGTTAACCTCTGTTACAAAGGTTAATTCTTATCCCGACTATTTAAGATTATCAACTTGTTCCAGTGATGTATTTTCTAAGATTATTTTTGTGCATATTGGATGTTTTCCCATAACTGTTATTGTTTTAGTCTTTGGTTTTGCAATATTTAAATTATATCCTTTGCAAGTTAGATATAATTGATAAACAGCCCTCTGTTAATCATCTTTGTTTTCATATAGTAGGATCTGCTCTTCAGCAAATAGAAGTGTATTCAAGTATATTTCGTTTCTGAGCTTAATTTCTAGACTGATTTTAGTCACCCTCTCTTGGACATCATCATATTAAACAATGCTGAGAAAAGACTGCATCCTTCACAAACTCCTTGATTTGTTTTTGTTTCTTTAAAATATCTTCCTTCTAGATCGAAAACAAAAGAGCTATTCTTATATAGATATTTAATGTCCATTATTAAGTGGTGTGGATAGTCTGTTTTTTTCATAATTTCCCATACGGTTTTCTGTTATCAACAAAAGCCAAATAGGTCTCATGATTAAATGTCCTACATTTTCTATAACCTGCTGAATGGTAAAAACATTATCTGTACAGGAGCGTCTTTTCCTAAAATGTTTTTGTTTATCTATTATTAAAATATCAGAGATACTAACAAGCCTTTTATTTAAAATTTCTGCATATATTTATTGCATGTTAGTAATAAGCTAATGCCTCGGTTGTTTTCAAAGGTACTTCTTTTTCCTTGTTTACAATTATCAATTTGCATAAGTATCTTGTTTGAACTAAATTAGGAGAAACCATAAGCAGTCACCTTCATACCATGATAAGAGATGTTCTTTTCTTGTTCGCACTCATTTATAGAGTGAGCATCTTCTCATATTCTTGAGTTAAAAACAAATATGTTAATTCATCAAGGTTACTGCTTTTCAAGATAGTTCGTAACATGATTTTCCTGTTGCATATCAGATATAATTGAGATACAGGAAAATTATATTAGCTACAATGAACCACTTATACAAAAACAAATGTTACAAAATTAAAAATTGAATTTATTAATATAAATGTGAATAAAGATAAACATTTTCTAGCAAAATATGCAGAATAATTAGCAATTTGCAGAAACATTATGCTTGTTAAGAAAATAGGCCAAATGTGCAAAATAAACATCACAAAATCATATTTAAATAATTTGAAATTTGGTGCTTCACAAACCAAGTAAACATTCTTTCTGGCTACAGGCGAGAAAAATATGCATTTGCATTGAAATCTAATCCCTAATGGCTACAATAATTCTGAGCTGTATATTTTGTTTGTATTCTAATTACTATCAGAAATGCCTTTTTTGTGACCTTTTTCTATGATAAAAGAAAATCGATTATGAACAAAAAATTAAAAATATTTATTTCCAGTTCAAATTTAAAATTTTATGAAATTTGGGGACATATCAATAATTCTGATAATGACACACTTCCACTTTTGTATCTTTATTTTCAGTAGTACTAAAGCAAATAATTTCTTGTTAAAATAATGAAGAATTTAATTGATTAAACATTTTATTGGAGATAATACTGATTGATAATTTTTTATTCAATGAACTGAACAATAGACGATGTACAAATAGTGTACAGAAAATATTGTCTAGTGGAATGAAGATCATGAGTGATGTGCACATGCAACCTAGATGCCTGTTATCTCACCCTTTAATTGAGTGTGCATCATTAAGCTGTTTAAGTATATAATAAAATTTTACATCAATGGCGATATACTAAAACATCTGTTTCAGCTAATTTCTTGTGATGTGTTTAATGAGCAAATGGTTACTTCAAAAGTGGGTATTATGTTTGGTTGTTAAATTTAATGAAATTGTTAATCCAACCCAGTCATAAAACAACATTCATAAAAAATCTGTGTTTTAAAAAAGTATTTTAAACCTTGAAAGCCTGTAATAATATTATAAAATATTGCATGAAATACTTCCAGCTAAAAACATTTCACAAAATCACATAGTATATGATTTGAGCCTCATTCTGACAGATAATACCTTGTCATGGAAACCAATCTTTATAATTTTTCACCCACAACAAAAGGACACACAAGCATATTACACATAGACAACATGCACAACCATGCCCAAGGCAGATTCGAACCCTATTATATGAGTTCTGTATATTGTTGTTTAATTGAAGGTTATAAGTCCACTGTTTCCATTCCATCCTCTTTATTTAGGTTTTTGTTTTGTTCTAATACATTTGTTCCTTCAGTGTTTTTGCAGGCACTGCCACATTGGCTAACTTCTTACTTATGGTAACATGGCTACCAGCAAGTGTGGTCGTTTCGGAACGATGGTGTTGTCCTCCAGTGGTGCCACTACAGTGGGACAGTAAGTTACGACCAGCAAGAGCTGCTGCAGGACAGGCTCGTGCTGCTCTAGATCGCTTGCTGGTGTGGGCAGTCCTGAGGCTGCGTTATCTTTGGCTCCTCCTGCTTGGGGGAGCAGCTGTAGCAGCTGTTGTGGTTGTGTTTTATCACCCACGGTTAAAGCTTCCAGATTCTCGAGATTTTCAGCTATTTGATAACCATCATCCATTTGAACAGTATGATTTGGTGTATAAAGATAAGTTCATGTTTGAACATTTGAGTCAGAAGGTAAGTGAAATGGCTAAAGAGCCATGATTTTAAAATTTTCATGAATATCTTTGGTAATAATGTTTTTTTTTTTGGTTTGATTTTTTTAGAATGATTTGAACATGAAGCTTCCTTTGCGCTTCGTGTGGGGTATAGTGCCACAAGATAATGGTGACTATATGGATCCTTCTTCTCGAGGAACATTGCAGTTTGACAGAACATTTGACATGGCTGATCCTGAATCGCAAACCTGGCTTTACCAATTCTGTAGGAATTTGCGAGCTCAGCCCTTCTACCAATCAACTCGTGGCCCTCTCTTGCCAAACTGCTTTATAGAAAGTTTTATTAGCTGGATGCATCGACGATGTAAAGATCCAAGTGGTGAAAATAACAGAGCTCCTTGTTGTGAAACATCTCTTTTTCCTTATAGAAAGAAGGTTTTTGAAAATTGCATTGTTGACAGTATTGCTAGTCTCTACGAAACCCCTCATGAAATTGCTTTACCAGGAGTTGCAGGTCCTAAGTTTTCAAGAAATTTGAAGAAACCTCGAATTAAGGCTGTTGTTGTGGAGTATGACAGTAACCATTCATACTCTATGTCCTTTACGGAAATGAATGCATTTTACCAAAAGGTGGAAAAATGGATGGAAAGCCAACTTGCAACAGCTCCTCCTGGAATGAGAAATGGTTGGTTTGTCAGCGAACTGGATTTTTATGACCTACAGCTAACCCTTTCTGAAGATACATTACTGGCAATTGGTGTAGCAATGGGCATCGCTTTAGTTGTTCTTCTTCTTGTGACTTTAAATGTTCTTATAAGTTTATATGCTGTTCTTACCATTACGTGCATTATCTTTGTTACAGTAGCAATTCTTGTATTGTTGGGGTGGAAACTAAATGTTTTAGAATCAATCGCAGTGTCTGTAGCTATAGGACTAGCTGTAGATTTCAGCCTTCATTATGGAGTGCATTATCGGATCTGCCCCGAGGGAGGTGATAGGGAAACTGCTGTCACATATGCAGTTTCTAGAATGGGTGGTCCTACAGCCATGGCAGCTTTAACAACTGCTGCTGCAGGAGCGTTTATGCTCCCATCATCTGTTCTTGCCTACATCCAGATTGGAATCTTTTTGGTGGTAGTGATGCTAGTGAGTTGGGTATATTCAACATTCTTTCTGGGATCTCTTTTGCGTGTGGGAGGCCCCCAACATGGCTTTGGCCAGTTTTCGTATCCCAGTTGTGATTGTGGAGAAGGTTCTGCCTCTGGGAGTGGTGTTGGGACACGAGGCCGAGAACGAATGGTGGGAGATGTAGCTGCATATGCAAATGTGCTCTCAGAGTCAACTTTGTCAACTTCAAGCACAATGTGTGCATTGCATCCAAGTGCAAATGAGAGCCATGAGCTAGAAGCGCTCACGTCACGTAGTCGACACAAGAGCTTACGGCGCACTGGTAGTTTGTCTGCTGCTCTTCCTTCAGCCGTAGGTACAGCCAACCGTGCAGCAGTCACACGGAAGGTATCACTGCCTGTGGAACAGTCTCCTTCTGCAGCTAGTGCAACTACTATAGTGTTAACTGATGACCTAGAAACAGACTGTGCTCGCCATAGAGATGATTTTCTTTTGAAGCATTAACCCTTTTCAGTGGTTCTCAGCTCTGAGTTTTGTCATGTTCTGATAGGGTGATGCTGAAAGTCAATGTTTGAATTAGAGTGACTGCATTTCATATTGTGTTGAAAACACTGCAAGGTTCCACTTAAAGAAAGAGTTTTGAGTTATTGTAGCAACTTGTGAATTGCTTTTATAAAGAAAAATTGAAATTGATTGATGTTGTTATGCTTCCAATTTGTCTCTTTCTTTCCTTTTTGTGTGATTTGCAGTCACATTTTGCCATGAATGATACGAAAGATAAAGTAACATTTGTGCAATTTCAGTTATTTGCTGATTAGGAGAATCACTGTTAATATTGTTCTTTCAAATGTTGGCCTTGATGTCTTTTACTATAGAATGCATCAGACATGGTTGTGGAATTTTATTGCAATAGCATATCTTGTAGACTGGAAAGTAGTTAAAATACATTTGTGATTTGCTCTGGAATTGGCTGAAAGGGGATTTTATTAGATTGAGGAGTCACTTGTGAAGGTTTCTGTCTCTGTTGCTGGAGGCATTTTATTTGTTGATGACAATCTAGGTAGGTCATAAGGCACTGTCGTAGCAATTGTAGTAGTTGTGAATTGCTTGGTGCTCTACCAATACACATTTCTACACTGTTTGTCTGATGACTCACAAGGAAAGTAATGATACATTGGAAATTGTCTACATATTGTAGTCTTTCTAAACTGTATTTCGTGAATTGTTGTCTTTTGCAAAGAAGACTGTTGAAAACATGTGTTAATGTTTGAAAAATTAACAGTGCATCTCAAAAATAATGTTTAATATGGCCAATATGTCACATTAATGGCATTACTTGTGCTATTCTCAAAGAAGAGATGTATTGCTGAGAACCACTGTCTTATCTTGCATTCCAAATTTATGGCCTATGGCTGTAGTCATCCTCATAAGAGATTGTCAGTTTCTTGTGAAAATCATACATCGTAGATTGCAACGTTTTTGAAAATGATTCATAATCTGATCTCTTCTGATTAAAAAAAATTGTAGCAGAAGAGGATTTGTTATTTTTAAATGAAACAGTATTAATTAGATGCACAATACATTACAATTATTATTATATATATATGTACTGCTGTTGTGAATTGGAATGTGATATTTTTGTATGTTGATTTGAAGGTGATAATTAGTTATACTACTATGAAGTTCGTGATTAAATTAAAAATGCTAATAAAGTAATCTTTACGTGAGTGGTCAATATATTACGTTGTTGACGGACATTAAATTAAAAGTTGCTAATGCAAAATCAAAAAAGTGGCCATAATATTGTTGCTTTTTATAGTAATATATGGTTTTATATGTACAATTTACAGGAGAGTACTCTGTAATCTTGATTGTTACAAAGACATCTTCATTAATAGTTTATCTCTAATGTTATATTTCTCAGTTCTAGCTTTCTTGTCGAATAGCAACCTTAGAACAGATTTTCATTTTTCGTTTGTTTGGAACAATTTTAGAATGAGGTGAAAAGGTAAAGCTGGAACTGGGTAATTAAATGTGCTTAATTTGGTACATAACTTATAATTAGTTAGTTAAAATACTTTGAATATTTTTAATAGAAATCTTGGATGACTATTAAACATAGTACATATGAAAACTAACATACGATATAATCAACTGAGATATCATTACTTTATAAAAATATTTAAAATGTTTATTGTGAGATTTATAAATATATACATTGTTTTAAAATTACAATCTGACAAGAGAATGATATGATAATTCAGATTGTTTTTATTCTTTTATATTTAAGGTAAATCAAATATCTTCCACACCAGGCTCTTTATCAGAGATGTGAAATGACTGGTCTTAGAATAAAAATATGATTTCTAATATCTGGTCATACAGTGTACTTATTGTATTGTATTCAGTCATTTCAACAAAAGATATTGAGCATAAAAGTTTGGAAGAACCATGCTGTACAGCATGTGTCACTCATATGTATAGTGGACTGGTCAATCTCTCTCTTTGTATGTCTCTATGAGGCTTGTTTGATGAAAATAACCTGTGATAATGTTTCCATGCGCCATGATATTGTCTGTTAATTGTAGTTGATTCTAATCTGCTAGTGTAGTGTAGCATTCTTGTACTGATGGCTTGTTGCTCCCATGTCTACTTTATAAGACATATACCTATCAATGTTATGTTAGGGGTATGCAGGTGTTTAAAGTCACATTACGAAACTATCTGATGGTGCATGACTCTTTCTGGGATGTGTTCTAAAACTTCTTTTTCCAATCTAGAAATTGAACTGTAGTTTGAATTATAGCTGTAGACTCATTAGTTTCTACGAAGAAATTTTGGAGTTAAAAGGATATTGTTGGAAAAATGAGGCAGTATTTTATGGCTACATTTCAAGATTTCTTGTTCAGAAATCAGAACATATTGGAATATATTTTAAATATGGAAGCATACATAGCCTTATGTTTACTTTTGTAATGACTAGTTGGCTAATGTGTAACTGTAAATCAGTATTTATCTTCCTAAGCATCTTGACTGTTTGAAAAGCACAAAATGAAGTTAATGTTCAACACTCATTTTCATTATCAATATTTTGAGTTCATGCTAGTTGTATTGTCATGAACTAAAATGTGTTCATTGACTATTCTTGATACAGAATGTAGTCTTCCTCTTTCACTGTTCTACCTTAGTTTTATCCTTGAAATATGGGATCATAAAGTATTAATAATGTATATTGGTATATCTGGCACGATGGTACTTCTATTTTGTGTCAGTGTATAGTGAATAATGGAATTCATCCACTTTGCTTGCAAATAGTGTATAATAAAATATGGTAAGTGCCAAAGATGTACTTCAGTATTTTACGGTTCTAAAGTATTTCATGTTTTAACCAGTGTACATAAAATATATTCATATATAACCTGGAAAGTATATTGTGTATTATTTTGTGACAAAATAATCAGTATTGTTATTCTATTTCCTGGGCACTTGCGTACCCCTAATAAGTGTGATTGAAATAAATAGGTGTATTTGTATGTGAAATTGACGTGTGTTGCAAGCTCATTCATGATGGTTGTTGTTGGGCATGGTATGTTAAGCCTGAACGCCCATACTTGTCTCTTTCAGTATAAGCTCAAGTATTCATTGAGTTCCTGAGCAACAGAACTTAAAATATTTGAAACCAGTGAATGTAGAGGGGATCGGAGGTATTACTAGCATGTGTTAGTGTAAAAATGTTAGTTCATAACATGAATCTTATGCTGTCATGGGCATACATAAAATAACTTAAGTTTTCATATACATGTACAGAAATAAGTAATTAATTTGTATTGACTGAATCACATTAAGTGTATTTACCTATTTGATGTTCCTCATGCTGGTATGAATCTGGTCCCAAAATTCATTGTTGTATGTTACAAGGTTACCTGTTGCAATTATAATGTTGATAGTGTGGTGTTAACTTCAATGCTCTTTCAGAATCAGAATCAGAATGTGCACTTCTGTGGCAGTAGCATTGTTGCAGTGAAGTTGTTGGATACTTTGAAAAGAAAGATGGCCTACAGAACATTTGTATTATTTTTGGTCCAGTGTATGGGCCATGCTCAAGATGATAAAAGACTTTCTACTTGTATTTAGTGTCCTGTGTGGACCATGGTGGGCTGGCACCAAATCTGAGGTCGCCTTGTGTGTGACCTTAGGTTTTTGCCTCTAATTCTGTAGCCTGTGTGTCTCTTCAACTATTTGTAGTCTTTGTATGTGTCAGATTCGATATATTGAAATACAAATACTTCATCATCTATAGTATCTTTTTAAATACCTACAATTAGATCAGCATAGGCTTGAACTACTGTTCATAAATGATCCCACTTTGATTTGTATCAATTCCTGTAATGAAAATGGTTTTGTTGTGTTAATGTTCTGTTGTGTTCCGTTAATGTTGAAGTTTTGTTGTGTTGTAAATTCTAAATACTCTATTTGTGGGGGGTCCCAAGTTTCAAGGTAAAAATATTAGAATGATAGTATCCTTACAATCACATTTGCTTAAAAAAGGGTTCAGAAGCAGTTTTTTGAAACCACAAAATTCTGTTTTTGACCTGTAAACTTTGCTAGTGGATTAGTGCTGTATAGGGTGAGCATCCCCCTCCAATTAGTCTTGCAATCATTGAATAAAATTAAATAAATATTTTATTACTATATAAAAAATTACACATATATTTTACTTCTTTTCTTCCAAAATATTATTGATTTGAATGTGGGGACTGGGGTAATCTGACCCCACTTGCACATACACTCATGAATCCATTGATGGTGCTGGGGTAAAAATTGATAAAAAAAGTTGCAACTATTTATCTTCACAATAAAAATAATTGTAATTTCCATATCCAGAGTACCTGAGAATATAATTTTCTCAGTAGTATTTTTTAGGAGATACTACATGCAATAGAGTGGGCTGCATTGTTACTTACACTTGAATCTGTGGTTATTCGTATAAATATAATTTGAATAACCGATATCACACAATTTTAAGTCGCAACTTCTCCATCAGGGTAAATGAATATGAAGTAAGTGGTGGATTAGAAAGCAGGGGCTGTGGGAGAACTGAAAAATAAAAAAAATATTACTTTTCTCCACAAATTTCATATGTATTAATCTGTGTTTTGGCCCCAGTCGGCAGTGTTGACATCATACAAATCTGCGTTTTGGCTTCAGATATGGAAGGCTATCAGTCATAGGTCCTTGTGATTTTAAAATGTCCACATCAATTCCAGTACATAAGTGGCTTTTAATAAGAGTACTCCACAAATGAAATTTTTTTTTTTAAGTTGCAGAATATGCCAAATATTGACGGAACTTGAGCTTTTAGTGTATGCCACTTCCTAAGGAAGATGTCTTTCAGCTTATGGCTGACTAGTAGAGAGAAGTATTAAGAAACATTCGATAGAAAAAGCAAGACTAATTTTGAGACTTACGATCCTAAATCGAATACCAACAGCATTTACCAAATTTCATTTGAAGAAAAACACTCTATCTTCAATAATGTAGTTGTGCGAGGTGATCCTAAAAAAATCGCTATATTTGAAAATTTCATTCATTGAATTTACGGGCATTGTTATAAGAGGTTTTTTTTTTCTTTCTATTCTTCAAAGAAATTTAAACAAAAGTTTTCAGTAACTAAATAATACGGCATTAACGCCATTTTGGCCTTTGTTTATTAGTGGTTCTAGGCGCGACAACTGTCAGCAGTGTTGGTCCCGTAAGTGGAGTGCATATTTTTTTGATATCTGAGAAGATATACAAAGGATCATGACGTTGTGATTCCAATCGGAATCAAAAGGTTACGACCTTTTGAATAGCTATTATAAACATTACGGCAAATGTTTAGGGAAATAAACAAACTATGACCGTCGTAGGTGGCTCAGGGGATGAATTGCTGTCACTACGATGCCTCTTGACTGGGAGGTCTTAGGGTTCGAGTTTTTCCGACGGTGGCAGGATTTTCAACACTATGCATAGCTGGGTAGAATTCAGCCGCTAACTGGAGAAGAATTCTAGCGGTCGGGTGATCTAAATGGTAGTTTCTCATGGGGAAAACGTGCATTTTTATTTTCTGATGAACATAACCCTAACGGACCAGGGACTGCACGCGATCTTTCATTCCTCTTCCTTGTCCTATCCTAAGGCCTTACTTACAAACGTTTACTGCACAGCATGCACTGCACTATCACACATGGGGAACCATTCGGGTGCTTCGAGCTTGTCCTGTCTGGGGCGGTGTCGCGTGGTGGGAGATACCTGGTTGAGGGAAAAACCCGCTAGCCGCTGGGTAGGTCGGCGCCTGATCCCGCCATCCAACTAGGGGGAAGATCACCGCCACCTTTCGCAATAAAAACATGCACTCCGCTTACGGGACTAATACTCTTGGCAGTTGACGCGCCCAGAACACTAATAAAGGATGCCAAAATGGAGTTAATGAAGTGTCTTTCAGTGACTGGAAACTTTTTGTGTAAATTTCTTTTAAGAATAGAATAAACTGCACTTCTAATGTCCATAAATGCAATTAATTGAATTTTTAAATATAGCAATTAGTTTGGACCCCCTCGCATAACTACTTTATTAAAAATAGAGCGTTTTCTTCAAATAAAATTTGTTGAACTAGTTCTTTATGGTCTGTAAAGTTCAAAAAAATATGTCCTTCATCGTGTTATTTAGTATGGCCAACGAGCGCGTTTCTAGATTTTGCATCAGCAATTCAAGGAGAGAATTCTGCCCTAGTTCATTGAAGGCTGGTTGCTTTACTCAACGCTTCTCTTGGCCACAGGTTGTTGTAGACCAGACCTGGCTCCTCATTGTTCCAAGTCTGATCTCTGAGCATTCGCACCAGATGTGGAAATCTTGCTTAAATACGGTGAACTGGAGCCAGGAACCAAGCTGAGATTCGTTCTAGATATTTAATTGAAAATACGATTAGGCACTCTCCCGTTTTAAATAAATGCAAACGAATAATATTATTTGCATTTCTTTGTTGCAGGTGCATATTTTTGGCCCCCCTTTTAAACAGCTCCTAAACCCACGAGCCGCTAATATTCATGCTGCTCGACGCCATTTGCAATTGAAGAGTTGCATCAGTTTGTGTGTCGTGAAACATAATTTCTCTGCTGACATTGAATTAAAGGTATTTAATTATGTCGAAAACAGTATCTGACGTTCATGGGATAGGGGTTAAAAGATGAACTGAACTGTTCAGAAGAAAGTTAAGACACAAATTAACATTTGGATTTTGTGATCAAGGGGAATTGGAGGAAACACATATCGAGAAGGGATTATTAACCCAAAGTTGTTGACATCATTTGTTTCACATAGAAATACAGAAATTCATTGGGTACTACGTAGAAGGTCGGCGTCAGTTGTTTTCCAAAAATGATCTCTCGGTGCACGAGTGTGCTTGTGACGACCTCGCTTCTTTGCGAGCTTACGCCCTTCTCCGCACTATTTCCGGAGATGGAGTAACGGAAAAGCGGACTGAGCACGCGATTAGAAACCCTTGATCATATTTTAGTCTATAAATATGTAAAATAGTGACATAAATTCGTAGGTCCTGGGTTCTAGTCTCTACGGTAGAACAAGGTAGATAGCTAGGTCGAGTTCAGGCGAGGAGAACTCTAGCGTCTGGCTGCTCTGATCGGTAGTTTTCCGTGGTTTCTCCGATAAATACCAGACGAATGCCGTAGCAATACCCCTAACAAACGGGTCACGGACCGCGCGCGATCTTTCCTCTTCGTTGTATCCTCATCCCTTATACACATACTTACACGTACATGTTCTGCACTACCACACATGCCGGGGGACCGGTCAGGAACTTAGAGGTTGTCCCGTTGGGCAGTGCTCCGCTGGTGGGAGGTTCCTGATTGGAGAAAACCCCGCTAGCCGACGATAGGTAGACGCAAGATCTCAGTATTTAGCGGAGAAAGATTAATGCCTCTCCCTAGGAGAAAACACTCACTATACTTACGATACTAATGACCTTAGCCGTTGACGCGCCCGGAATCACTAATCAATAGATTAGAATATTGTTATAAATGGTTAATATTTCAAAGATAATAGTTTACTTTCATTTCTAAGCAACATTTATCTAACGATGTCTCTGCAGAGGCCTTGATATTTTGTATGATAAAGTCTGCAGTACATTACAAACGAGGATCGTTGAAAACCGCTGTTATTCATTTGGTGCAAAAAAAATATAGCACTGAAAATTTTCATCTAAGTCTTCACTCCCACATGAATCTCTTTTGAAGTCGTAGGTATAATTTTTAATGAATTGTCATCTGTAGATCACGACCTCACATTGTTGGCACAACTGAAGACTGCTGAGAATAGTCTAGCTATTTTGAGAAAGGAAACATATTCGAAGTGTGTTTTTGTTGGCCAAAATATCTCTCCAAGAAGTGAACGAACGATTTTTTTACGCGAGGCATTTTCACTGTCTGGTGAACAACTCCGCCTCCCCCCTCCCCCAATCGTGCAACATAGTTCTTATCATAGACAATCGACCTATGACTGCGATATCTCATTGGTCTTCACTCGACACGCGTACACAAACCACGCTGAGCCTGAACACATTTATTCTCTACGCCCACTACCCGCAGCCCCGCACCCTACGAAAGTAGGATTGTGGCAGGAGCTCTTCCAAGTAGTTTCCGGGTATTCTTATTTCTCCTACATTCCACAATACCCATACACCAACGTCGTCTTCTCGCTTATATTGCTCTGAGCTAGCACTGCCGCTGCCTTTACAGTGACTCTGTCAGGGTTATCCTAGAGTTCGAGTCCCGATTGTGGCGGATTTTCGATACTAGCTATTCATATCAGCCGCTGTCTGGAAGAGAATTCTAGTGGTCGGCTGCTCTCAGGGGTAATTTTACGTGACTTCTCCGATCAATGCCAGGCGAATGCTGAAGCAGTACCAAAGACCACGGACCGCGCGCGTTCTTTAGTGCCCCTTCCGTGACCTATTTTCACCCCTTACTTACACACACTTTCTCTCACATTCACTATACTATCTAACATGTCGGGAGACCAGTCGGGAGCTTTGAGCTTGTCCCTCTAGAGTTGTGGGGAAATACCTGGAGAGGGAAAACCGCAAGCCTATGTGAGGGTAGGTCGGCGCCGGTATTCACCATCCAGTTCGGAACACTACTATATTCCGGGATAAATATTTGCATCTGGACCATTCCCCATAGCAGTGGAAGGGTCCGGAAACAATCAATCAACTGTCTTTTCTTCTATTAGATTAGGGTTGTCCAAATGGCGGCCCGCGGTGCCATTTTTTGTGGCCCGCGAAAGGTTATTGGTCAAACGGGGAAGTCCTTGCATTCATGTCGGACGAGAACATTATGCGCATTGCGCACGCGCTCTGATGGAATCAACACACTCAGTGTAAAAGTAGGTTAAGTTTAGATTTAAGGATTTTTCCTTGTAAATTAAGAATTTCAAATTCATCCCGATGTGATTCACTGCGTTATGCATGGTATGACCTGGTACCACGTATGGTTGGTTTCATCCACGTCTCCTCCATTTCAGAGCAGCCAACCAAACTGCCAAGATCAACAATACGTGAAGTCCGGTAAGTGGGTCGCCCAAAAAAT